GTGTCAACTGAACACATGGACAGACAGGTCTATCAAGCGGCTAGAAAAGTAGATCTACAAGCAGGGAGAAAAGCTGAGGTTAGAGATGGGGATTTAGGGGGGCATCCACAAAGAGGTAGGGTTCTGGGGATGAAATCACGGGAAACATAATTTAGCATAATTTAATGGGTTGAAAAAGGAAGAAGAGTCAGCGGAGGAGACTGGGAAGGGTCTAAGAACTCCAGGTCATAGAGGAAAAGAGATGTATTCTAGAACATGTTAGGGATACTACCTCGAGGACCAGATGGGATGGTCAAGTGAAAGCACTTTAAACATTTGAAAGGACTAAACAAATACATTTTTATGATTTTCACAGTAGCACATGTTTAATCTCCAGAAAAGCCACCTTGTGCTAGAAGAGCCAGGCTTCCCAAAATCTTCCACAGAATCCCCTCCCCACCAAGTCAAATGGAAACATGATCTCGTCCTGCCCTGTACTTTCACAGTACTTACAAAGTCGAATTTTGGTATCTGTACAACTCAAGAAGCACTACCTGAGCATCGTCTGCATGCCGACACTGCAGGGGGTGCTTTCCTCTGTGTCCCCCTTGGAGGAAATGAAATGGAAAGGGAGGATTTACCCACCTTTGCAGAGGATGCCATGTGTGAGGCTTCCAAAGGCTAAGTATATTGAGCCAAGACTGCCAGATAGTGAGTAGAGGAACCAGGGGCCTCTGATGCCAAGTCTTACCGTGACATTTCTACTAAAACACGAGCTGGGACTTGCCCTATCTGTTCTTATTTCCCTTACAATCAAGCAAACTAATAAGGGCACAGCCATATCTCATTTATCTTGATATCCTCTGAAGCACCCAGCCAAGGGCCTGACACTTGGTCAATTCTTGTGCTTTCGTTGCCTGAAAGTACTTGAGGGCACACGGGCCTCCCCAATGGTGAGCGTCTGTGGGCTGCTAAGCGTTGAGGACTTATTTCTAAGGCGGACTGTAACTTAACAACAAAAAGTTCTAAAAACAAATTCTGTACTTGTGAAAGATGCCACCTGGTCTGCCTCAGGGGCTGAAATCCTCTTTTTATGCACCGAGTGGGAACAGCACAGGGAGTGACAAGCTGGCTTTCTTCAAACCACTCCCACCAACGGGCTCAAGCCAAGAAACAGGCCCACACCTTTCGGGAAAGAGAAGTGCCCGTTTCACCTCTGGTGTCACTGCTGGCACTGCCAACAGTCTGAGAAGGAGGGAAAGGGAGAGCAGGTTTGGTGCCAGGTCTGATGATGTAACCTTGCAAGGCCAGCTTGTCTGCCAGGAAAAAAAAGGCAACTGGCTTAGAAATTAGGGTTTTTTTTTTTCCCCCTCTCTTAATATTCAACCGAAGTCTATTTTGCATAACTGACCACTAGCTGGTTCTGTTTTGTTTAATGAACTGTACTTAAGTGTCTCATTTACCTGACTGGTTTGGGTTCCTTGGAAAACAAATGTATAGAGAGCCTGAAGTGAGTGTATTTCATAAATGTCCTGTGTGCAAGAAGAACGTGCAGTTCCCAGAAGCTTTACTTTGCAAGCCATACACATGCACAGTGGGAGACAAGGAATAATATACATCTAAACACCATAAAGGCACACAGTCAGGCTCCAGTGTCGCCAGAAACACCAGAAACTCTTCCAGGATCCCGGGCAAAAAGACAGACTTCTGAAGTGGGATTATATTTTAGAGCTTCATTCATTATAATACACTTGGGAGTTTTCAACCCCATGTCTCTGACAGATGTTCCCTTTTGTGGGGATTGTCTAATTTGAGGACATTTGGTAACCATGTCCCTAGAAATCTTTAGGGTACAGCAAATTGATCCCTCTTCCCACATGTTAAGACAAGACCCAAAGTAGCCTCTTCCTAGTTCTAGGACTAGTTAGTGTAAGCATATTCCTGCCCACTGCATGGACAAGATGGGGCAGAGGAACATTGGCCAGACTGAAATGAGGTATCTCCCAGGCTCAAGATACCTTTCCATGCCCATGGAGAGCAGAGAGAGAGAGAATGCAAGTCTTTTCTTGCCAATTTTCACCTAATGTGGATCAGGCCATTGATCTACATTATCACTGACCCACAATGATCAGGCCCAGACCCCTGCATGTCAAATGCACTGCATGGGGCTTGGAACTTCCTAGAAAGAGCCATAGCAAAAGCCAAAAAGAGTACAAGCCTCAGCTTAGGGCAAGCATCTGGCACTGGCTTTGGGCGGGGCCACATGGGATGCTTTCCCCATGACTCCTGAGAGCATTCTCCAAGTCTGAGTCTATAATCAATGCTTGGATGGCTCCAAGTTGACAGGATAGTATGAAACAGAGAAAACAAATGAGACCTTAACACAATATCAAAGACCAGTACCAACCTCTCCTCATTCAGTTCTTAAAATCTATCCTATAACCTTGCCCTTACTGAAATGACATTACCTCCGTTCTATACACTGAACTCTGCATGAGTTAACCAAAGATATTAATAACTTTAGTAACTATGTAAGCCCTTAGAAAGTCTTAGCACAAATTTGGCCACTTTCCATTTTAACCTTTTTTCTGAAACCTCATTTTTAAAACTTCTACTCAAGGATATAAGAACTTTTGGCAGTTTTCATTGGTATTACAAAGGCAGTTCTACTAAGCGAATCTGTATCAACCAGGAAAAATGTAAGACCCCTCCGTGCAGCGTTTTCCAGTTTTCTTGTAAGAATTATTTATTGATCCGTAATACTGCCAACCAGGTTCCTAGTCCCCCTGCACTGCACTTCTGCAAGACATTAACAAAATGAAAAGACTTGTTCCTGCCCTGGAGTAGCTTGCAATTTAGTAAAAGATGGGAAAACAAATACGCATCACTAACTAAATCTGTGATGAGCAGATTCTAATTGACACAAATTCAGTATTAAAAGAGTTCAGGGGATGGCTAGAGAAGGTAGCCCAAGGGTGCTCAGGAGAAATGGTCGAGACAGGACTTGGGAAGGTCTATTTCAACAGGAAAAGGGTGTTAGAGAAGGCACTACACACAGAGGTAACAGCTTTAGCAAAGGCACATGGGCAAGCGCACACAGGTAAATTAAGAGACGTTCAGGTGATGGAATCTGGCTAAACGACAGGCTACTGGAGGGAAAAGCATAAGAAACTGACCTGGAAAAGTAAGATGCAGCCAGTTCTTAACATGAAAAAAGAGGGAGGACAGGTAGAAAGCTAGATTTTAGAGGAAATAACTTTTCAAATATAGCCTTCACTGATAATTTGTCACATCATATCTCAGAGTTTTAGGGGGAGAAATATTTTAATAGCAAGTTTATTTGCAAACCAGGTGTAGTAACTTCAAAGAAAAATAATGTGGGTGCTGAGAAAATCATTCTTCCGGGCTGGCAAATTCCTGTTTACAGCTTAACTAATATATTCTTATTACCTACATCTTGCGATGGTTTCACTGAGATCCCTCTTTTCTCATCACCAACATACCTTCTTAATTTATCACGTATGTACAGAGTGACTACTTAGAACTAGTATCTGCTCACTTATTTACCCACCCTCTCCTTTTCTGCCCCAACTTGTCCTAACCACTCACTCTCTCATGCGTTCTTCTCCCATGAGCGCTATCAATAACGACAACCTTAATAGCTCCCACTTGCTATAGTGCCAGGCATGGCAATTAATGCCGTAAGAACAGTGTTTAATGTAATCCTCAAAATTCCACTATAAAGTAGGCATTACTAGCCCCATTTTGAAGCAAGTTCAAAGACGTTAAAGATTTTACCAACTGGTAAGTGGCAGGACCCAGGTTTAAACCAGATATGCTTGACCCGAGAGCCCTGGCCTATTTATTACTGGTTCCTCATACTGCCTCCAACACTCTTTGGCGTCTTTACCCATATGGGTTAGTACTTTCAATTAAAAATTAAAACATTCAGTGAATGGTGTGCTACTGTAAAATCCTGTCCTCGGTGCTCTCAGCAGTATACAAATAAATGAGAGAATGCCTGTCGATTACTGAGGCTCCTCGTCACCCCTACGTGACAATGAACACCTATGTCTTCTATCAGTCTGGAAGATGGTGTGTCCATGATTCACGAAGTTGAACAACCAGGGCCAGAGGGAGTAAAAATGACTCCGGATATGAATGCTGGATGGTGACCATACCTCACAGACAGAAATCAGCCAACCCTGACTGACTGACAGAGATTTTTAATCATACATTTCAAATCAGAATCTGTAAAAACTCTGTCGATGGAAAATCTGTCCTGTCAGAAGTTCCCAACCAAATCTGCTTACAATCTATTTCCAATGAGCCTCAGCTTCCTTTGAAGTAGAATAAGCTTCTGAAGCATTTCAGCTAACAATAAGCACATTGTGACGCTAGCCCTCGTAAAATTCATTACCAACGAGTAAAGTTACTTGGTAAAACACAAATGTGGTATATCAAACTACTTGTACCCTAGAGCCTGGAAGTTGTGTAAAATTATATAGCGCTATTCAGACACAGAAGAGAAATTCAAATGTGTCATCTTTTTAAGCTACCTGCTTTTAAGATCACCGTTACTAACTTCTGAATAAGTTTTTGCTAATATTTTCAGGAGGCCAGTTACATTTGTACAAATAACTATAATACTTACAAAAATATAAGAAATTGGATAGGACGCTGTTGAGCAGTCCTCTTTAGGCTATAACCATATGTACCCAGGGAACATTTGGAAGAAGTTGCAATTTCGTATTCTGCCTGCCTACTCATCTCTCTCTACAAAGGTACAGTATTCATATCACAAGTTGCACAACTAAAACTCATCCAGAGACTGCAGTGGCAAATACTAACTGCATTTACTCTGCAATCTAAACTCCTGACACAACTCATTTTTAAGAAAATTAAAGTCAGTAAGGAGAAATCACCTTAAGAGTTCAAGAGTGGCAAAAGAATTATCAAGACATGTTTGGCTAACAAGGAGAAACATCAGGCTACATAAAATGAATGATGTTGATACTTACTGTTCAATTCGGGGTGACAAGTACAGCTTGGGATACACCTGAGTGGCTTCGGTGTCCTCAAAACTGACAGAAAGGAGGGCCACATCTTCTCCAGGGTCTTCATTTACATCCTTAAGCAGGGAGTGAAAAACACAACATCATCAGTCCCTGCTCCCATATAATCTTCCCGGTGCTGAACTCACAGCCCACTAGCCTTGAGGCTAAGAGCGTTTCCAGTACCTGGATTTGAATTCAGCAGCTCTGCGCATCCTTTGTCACATGCCAATCACTCCCCTAGAGTGATGGCTTTCAAACTTTCTGACCAGAGCCGACCACGGTGAGGCTAAGACGCCCACCTATCTCATTGGTCCCCCCCACTCCAAGAGGGGAAAAGTGAATCTGGCGACAACCAAGAATTAGTCAATAGCATAGTTAACAAACTGCAGTAAACATGTTGCTAATTACATATGTAATGTCTTATAATTTTTATAATGTATATATAAATGGCTTATAATTTTCTTTTTATAGGAAGAATAGGAGTTATGAACATGGTTTATATCATAAGACAACAAAGTCTTAAAATACCCAGTAATTTTATTATATATACCTTGATAGTATGTTGTAAGTTACTTAAATAGCAAAAATTCCCAAGAAACATATCGCTATGAACTGTGCCACCATACAAGCAAATGGCAGGGGGTTACGTACACATCGACTTTGCCAAACAACTGCACATGATTCATATATGAACCACAAGACATACATATCTTAAAAGCCTGGTTATAAGAATATTATAGGACAAAAACACGGTTGATCCAAATACGTACAAAAAAAAAAAACATTGAGAGGTTAACAACCCATAATAAACTAAATTGGTAATGACAAAGCTAAACTTCCTGTAATTTATCATTTAAAAGCAAGAATAGTGATAATCAAATGTCATAACCAACTCAGGCCAACACTGATTAAGTGTCCTGAGTCAAAACTGGGATTTATAGGTTCATGATTATTGCCAAGCACTGAATGTTTGCCAGACTTCTGAATAAAATACTGAATTAGCATAAATTCTAGTAGCATGATGGTTTTACTTTGTGAATACCAGATTTTAGTAACCCTTAATCATTTTACTTGTGGTTGGTAGTGGCTCTAAGTCAGATATAAATATTTTGAAAACTTAATAGGACTGCACATCTTTCACCCATAAGGACTGGTAAGAACTGGCCTATATTTCTGGATTGATTCACAGGTCCTCTGGAGGGCCCACTTGCCATCCTAGGAGGGTCCCAATCTAGACTGTAAGAATCACTGCCCATGAGCACTGAGATCCTCAGATACAAGGTCCTTGCTTCTGTCTAAAACTAACCTCACCCCTTCCTTTCCTGTATCGCGGGAAGCTGGTCATCACACTCGTCCAGCTCAGCTCTGACTTCATCCTCCCTCTGCCTCCTATTGTGCCTACAGGATGCACGTGTGGCAAGTATACAAAGGGGCAAGAACCAGAAGTCTCTCCCATCTTAAAAAATAAAAACTTTAAAGGGGCATCTGGGTGGCTCCGTTGGTGGCTCAGTTGGTTAAGCGTCTGTCTTTGGCTCAGGTCATGATCCCAGGGTCGTGGAATCAAGCCCCACTTCAGGCTTCCTGCTCAGTGGGGGGTATGCTTCCTCTCCCTCCACCTCTGCCACTCCCCCTGCTCATGTGCGGGCGCTCTCTCTCGCTCATAAATAAATAAAATCTTTAAAACATAAAAAATAAAAGAAAAATTCTAAAAAGAAAGAAAAGAATAATGCCAGTCTCTACACAGCATTCTCTCCCGTCTCTCTCCTCTCCTTCACAGACTGCTTAAAAAAGCTGTCTGCACTTCCAGTCTCTACTCCCTTCCCTCCTATTATCCCTTAGCACAGGAGATGGCCTCTGACCCCACTAGGCCATCGGGACTGCCCTCACCAAGGCATCCACAAAACACAGCAAATGCCTCTCTGGGCTTATCTTTCTTGATCTCTGAACAGTATTTGACATGGATGATCTCTTTCCTCCGGAAATACTCTGTTTCTTGCTCCTAGGAAACTACACTCTCCTGATCTTCTGTCTCTCGGACCACTTCCCTCCTCCCTTTTCATGCTTCGTGTTTTTTATCCTTTTACTTCTCAATTATTTTTTGGTTTTACATGACAAACTTCAGGCTTGTTGTAACAAGTCAAGCCGTACAGAAGCTTATAAGAAAAAGCTCTTCTGCCCTCCATTTTTAAAGGTAACCAGTATTAAACTGTGTATGGAGCCTCAAACAGCTTTCTCTATGCTCATAAGCACATATACACATACACACACTTGCATATAAATAGCTCTTTAACCTTCTGTTTTGTTTTCCTTAATGGAATTGTATTATACATATCAATCTACCAACTGCTTCCTAAATAGCCACATAATATTCCATGGCATGGATTTTTTTTTTTTTTTAACCATTCCCCTAGCAACAGACATTCAGGTTGTTTGTAGTTCTCAGCCATTTGATAGTATTACACTAAATATGCTCATATAAAGAATATATATGTATCCTTTACTAGTGGGACTTATATTTCCAAATTGGTAACTAAAACTGAGCTTGTCAGATCAAAGGTTATGAACACTTTACCTTTTAATAGTTGGAGATTATTTTTCTAAAATTTTATAGCACTTTACATTTGGACTCCTGAATCTGCATCAGTAGGAGAGAGCACCTGTTTCTGCTCATCCTGAATAACCTGGTAACACTAGCTGTGGTCATTCTGCAGTTTAATGTTGGCAGTCTGACTGCTGGAAAATGGTGCCTCAGTTGAGATTCAATGACTAAAGCGGAGCAACTTTTTACTTGCTTACTGGTCATCTGTTCTGTCACTTCTCTGATCAAATCCTTTGCCCTAAAGACTCTTGGACTTTTCTTGTTGTTGTTGTTGTTTACTGGGCTTATTAACCCCAGTCTATCACATGTGTTATAAATATCTTCTCTCAGTCCAGCTTTTGGCTTTTTACTTTGTTTGGGGACTCTTCTGACAGCACAGAAAATTTAGATTTCTATAAACTTAAATCTGGTCAATAACTCTGAGGTTATTTACTTCCCTAGCATTTCATCTAACATTTTATTTTTACATGTAGATTTGTAATGCCACTGGAATGTGTTTTAGATAGTATGATTTAGGAAGTATATAAGAAGAGGACCTTAGTACAGTGCCTGGAACACAGAAACCACTCCATGTTTGCTGAATGAGTACAACAGTAAACAAATTAATGCTAATTTCTAACCTTTATTCTCCACACCTAGTGCTTTTCAGGAACTGGCTTTACAAAAGTTGCTTCAGCAGTGGTATCTGGAAACAGTACTGACTCCTTGCTCCTGCCCCCCATAATACACCAACGTCCCTAGAACTAGTGGTTTCAAAAGGAGAATAAAGATTGGGAATCTGAGTTTAGTTATCATTTCTTGCTCCTTGACAGATGATTATTCAACATTGAATGCTCCTTTCTGTAAAATGAGGATGGAAATTTTAAAAATTACTTAGGTCTCAACAAATAGAAACTATGTAATTCTATAACACAACTCTAAAACTCATAAAATATCTAAAACTAAGGTTGAAGCTGAGTTTGAAAATATTCACATTCAGAGAGACAAATTCATTTGATGATCTAAGTATAGAAGTAGTCCTCTTTAGTGTTAGACTGGTCACCTTAACGTAAGATAATAAAAAAAGAACTAACATTGATTTTCAGACACCTTCCCCAGTGATTGAGTTTCCTTGTTAAAGGTCAAGGCTCTGACCACAAGTCACAAAACCTGGTTAAAAACAAAAACAAAAACAAAAACAAAAAAACACTGCAAAAAACGAAAGGCCACTGAAAACCTTTTTAATTAGCAGCTTCACTCCATATACCCATGGATAATTTATAATTATTTTCTTTTCCTACTTTTTAACTTCTCATTTCACTGCTATTTAAGCAAAGAACAGAAATGCTCACAGACAGTCCTCCAAACAAATGGAATGACCCTGGTTTATATAATCAACATTTATCATCTGGCATCCTGCAAAAAGTACATGAAACATTAGTCTGAATAGGAAAACAGTTGTTTCCAGGAGTTCCTTTTATGAACTACTTTTAATATAATTTACTTGCCTTGGTGTGACACATTGGTTTCCCCTGAATTGGTATTTGATTTCTAATGGATACCTAAGTTTGACTCTTGAGTGCTTAAATAAGCCCAGAGAGTTCCAAAAATACAAATCTACACAGTACTGTTTCCAGTTTCTGCAACTCTAACAGGCTTGTACATGTGTTCCTTCCCATCTGGGAGAATTATAAAAGAAGCTCTTGTACTGTGGTTCTTAGAAGCTAACATTACAGATGATTATTGTAACCACTAATGGCAACATTTGGAAAGCAGGGGGAGGTTACAGTGTAGTAGGGGACACTTAAAAATGCACAAGTATACATTTTCAAGGCTTTCTATCCGTACCATCTAAAATTGCAGAGGCTAAAATGGGGGGAAAGATGTCAAATCTGCTGAAGCAAAAAAGAGTATTGCCTCCTACCTTTACAAAAGCGTTATCAGGCGCTGATATACACATGGCAAGGCAATAATGGCCATGATATTTTGCTGAGACTTAACAATGGATTTGGCTATAGAATAGAAAGGGGTTCCTATGGCTTAGAGAGAATATTCACTAGGTGGTGAGTTCCTTGCAGGCTGGGAGCTTTTCCTGTTTGTTTTTGTATACCCAATGTCTGAAACAGCACATATATGGCAAACTGGTTGGAGGGAAAAAAAAAAACTGATTAATGCTGGAAAGACTGTAAGAATGAGTAAATGATGGAGTTAAACAGAAAGTACTTTCAGTTAGGAAGATTCTCAATACCTATCTCATTTTTCCTTAAATCTATGACTACTTAAGATTTTGTTAAAGAAAACTCGTCTGAACCATATATAAGCAAAAGATGCACCTACTAGTAAGAGGTAACATTCTGTGTAGGTCACAATGACTTATTCATGTAACTATTCTCAATTGGGGCTCTTTACAAATATCAGAAGGGTGTAGAAAAAAACGATTAGCCTTGGAAACGAAAGTAAACACAAGCTCAATTTATCATTACGCTGGCTAATTCC